CTACTACTGATGGACAAGTTTCTTTGTTCAGTTTCCTGTAAATACTAAATCCCTCTGCAATTAACAAAAAGTCAAATGCAAACAGAGCTTCTAGAAAGGAAAATGGATCAAAAGTACAGGAATTAGATATATAGAATGTTTTATGTGGAAAACTCTAACTACAGGTCTACAAAACCAGTTCATAACTTAAGACTAACGGAATACCTGATCTCCCAAGTGGCTATAAATTAAATGGTGTAATTTTTGTAGTACAATTAAAGCAAACTTCCGGAGTACTTTTTCCTTTGGCCAATCACCAATAATTCCCACCAAATCAGAAGAACATGAAATAATTTTTAAAAAAGAGAACTTTATAATAAAACTGAAAGCAACCAATGACAAGCAATATTGTTTATTTGACAGATATGAACTGAATTGCCACAATCCACACCTAAAAATGGCTTCTTAGAATATATATAAAATGTAGTTTTTTAATCAAGTCCTTGCAATTCTTATGTTCTCCCATACTTGTATTGTCCGAATTCAAAATACTGGCCTTGTTTGAGCTCTCAAATGAGAAAGCATAAAGAGATGTGTGATCTGTACCTTTCAGTGTGAGATGATCACTTAAAGGGCAGCGATGTCCTAGAATATCAAACAATGTTAGTAATCTGAAAGGGCTTACAGATCTTCTAATTCAAGGTTCTCAAATTTCCATATACATTGAGAATCTCTTGGGTTCCTCCTGACACATGCATTCCTGGGGCCACTCCCATTGTCTCTGATTCAACGTGGCTAGAATGGCATATTTTGGGGACCCCCCCTTTACCCAATTCCTCTGTTTTCCAGGTAAGGGCTTTACAGAGATTGTCATAATCTCCCTAACAACATTATGATGAAGAATACCACAGAACACAGATGGTTGGACAGATGGTAAATGTTAGAACAGGGATCCTAACCTACACTGGTGCCATCGCACCATCCTTACACTTGGCAAAGGTGCTCACCAGGCAGTATTGACTGACCAAGGCACCATACTTAGTGCCATAAAAGACTACCATAAGAGCAAGCACTTGACTTGGGACCTTGAAGAATGGATTCAGCTTAAATAAGGATAGCAAGGAAGGCAAGAGGATATTTCAAGCCAGCGAAGAACATGGCAAGACACAAAGGCAGAAAATAGAAGAGTTTGACTAGAACAGTGATTCTGTACATGGTCAGCCTAGAAACATAAATTAGAACCTTGATAGGCTAAGTTTGGACTACAGAGCTGAAATATGGATTTAATTCCACTCTGGTTAACAATAAACACTTCTCTAGCTATATAGATTGAATCTGACATAATCATTTTTACCAGCTTCATTTTACATCAGTATTATATTCTTTAAAAATACACATTCTAATTTCACTGTTAGCAAAGACACACATTCACACACACATATACAAGTACATAT